CGGTACCCACTTGATAGGAAGTAGCCGGTCTGGACGCGGAGGAGAAGAAAAAATATCTTGCTCCTGCCGGGAATCGAACTCCGATTGATCGACCCATAGTCTAAGTCATCTGTCTCATGTTATTTCACATAAAAGAACTGAAATTCCAAATCTTATTTTTGTTGCATTAGGGCCTTTGTCTCTTACCTGGCATTTGACTGGCCTCTGAGTAAAAGCAGTTTATAACCACAGATGAAAGGTAATTGTCGTGACCAACTATAAATTAGTGCCCACAATATGCGTGTTCATTGAGGGCCTGGGTAGGTCGTAAGCAAAGTGTCTGATAGTAGAACGGACGACCGCGGTTTGATTCCAAGCAGGAGTGAAGTATTATTCTTCTAGACCGGTTTTGGGATTCACCCAACCTCTTATCGATCGAGTACCGTGAAAATTTTCCCAAGGGGTAAAGCGGCCCGAGCGTGACGCTGACCACTTATCCCAATCTAATGCAGATGACAAGACTGAGTAAGAGCTACACCTCCTCTACCCTCAAGCGCCCTCATGGCGTATACCGTGTACAGTTTAGCTTTATTGTCAAAGTTCATTGTTCACTTCTAGTCCTCGTGTTTGCCTTTTGTTCTCTCCTCTCTTTTGCACACACCCCTATACAGAGTGTCCCAAAAATATGTATACACATATTCAATTAATTAAATAAAACATTTTGATAAACTAAATAGTTACATACGTCAACATGGCACCTAGTGAATTAGCAAATCTAGCGCAGGTGTTAAAAATGACCACCGTCGACTTCGTGGCACAGTTGACAGCGGTGATCAACTGACTGTCAAGCCGATGTTAGTGAATGTGACGTTCTTGGGGCATTCTGTATTTTACCCATTCTCAGTCACCACTAAATATATCTCAAGAGCTCTTATTCATAAGGGCATGTATCTCCGTAGTGTGGCATTTTCCAATGGCTCATATAGGCCTACACTGTACAATGCAGCTTGGCAATCGTAACACTTCCATTTATGATAGCATGATACTCCCACCCGTATTGTTTCGTCATATTCTTTTTGTAAGTCTTCCTCAATCCCTTTGAAATGTTCCTGGAGTCCTCTCTCTCTCTCTCTAAAATAATTATGCAAACTTTACTAGGGGATGTTAAGACCCACGAGTATAAGAACAAACAGAATCTGTTCTCAGAGTTGGACTGGCTCCTGGCTCAGTGAATGGGGTGGTTCATTTCCTGGGTAACCGTCTGTGTCTGAAGAAATATTCAGTCGTAGGATTGAACAGACAAAGACGGAGTGGGGTGCAACCCAAGGAGACAAGAAGAATATGCCGAGACATCTTGTGCAAGTTAATAGGAAAAGAAATGGAGATGCCGGTCCAAAGGTGATTTAACACAGTGCGTTTCTAAACGTGACAGTTCCGTACTTGTTTCCACAAGAACATGAAGTAATAAGACTTGCCTTTGTAACATTACCGATGTCGACAGCAATCTCATACTGCATGTAACTGCAGTGAAATTAATGTATCATAATGAACACTTCGATTTTATTTCACTTACAACTGAACAGTTAGACTTACTATAAGAAAATGGAGCGAATACGAAGCGCAATGCATTCAAGTTATCAAACGTATCGGGAGTAAAAGTATGTTTTTAACAACCACCATACGCAATCAACACTACTGGCGTACTTAAATCTGTCATTTTGTGTGATGTGCATATAACATTGGTGCACTGAGTTCAATCAGTCAATACTAGCTTTAACATTAAGTTACATTAATGAAATTCATATTATTATTATTTCTAATTCGTTACATAGTGAAGAAAAGCACCAAGTATTTTCTGTAATAAATAAATTAAAAATTACCGCCTTGAACGGCAAAATATATTTTAAATAAGAAACAATTTTACAAATTTGTTAAGACCAGACTGCATCGCATTGAACCTCTGAAAGTAAACTGTGCATGACTTCGCGGTATGATTGTCAATTTTCAAAAAGAACTAGAAGGTATCCTTTCATAGAAGCAAAGACAGCTGACATGTAAGGCAATCAAAGTTATGAATTATGCTCTTATGAGTTACCTGATCAGTTACTCCAATTATACACATATGTAGACATAATGAATATAAATCATGTTCCTTCTAAAGTGAAGAGACTAGTAAATTAAGGTATTTCTTTTATTATTCACTTCTTAAGTTATATCTTCTCATTTGATTTACAAAACATGAAAAATCAAGATAGAGAGACGCACACAGGAAAATACAAGATACGCACGTTATGTAGATAGGCCTACGTATAATCGATTTTATAAACGCCCAAAATAAAACCCAGATTCGCTACTGCCTATAATCGAAGCAGCTGTTGCTTCAGGTGGTAACTTTAGTAGAGAGAAAGGCGAGAGACTTTCGTTCCCAAAGATTACATCATGTGTGCCTCCAGCTCTAAAATGTCTCCCGTAACACTTACGTAGAAGCAGAGAGTAACGTTTATGAAATCATTAAATCATCTCTATTTTATACATAACGACAGTTAGCCTGAGGCAAATCATATATTCATTGTTAAGGTGCGGATATAATTTCATTATATTCTATTTACTCATTTTTCAAAAATTATTTGTCGTGATTCACAAACTCAATTACCGTGTATACGATGCTACAACAAAACATTTATTCTTCACTCATTTTTATTAAGGATGTTTATTGCGTAGTTGCTGAAGGGCACGCTCATAAAATAAATTGACTGTAATTTCATGCATCACTGCGAAAACACCACACCACACACTACAATATAATGGTGATTTGTTTAACCCCACGAGACTGAACTATCGCCATTGCGATATTATAAAAATAGGTACTCATTTTAATGAAGTTGTTATTACAAATAAGGAAAATCTATTATTTCCTTTTTCAAAATTAATAATTTTGTCTGTCAGCTTCCATAACATGACATTAGAACTTACGATTCCCATTCAAGGACAAGCCACATGAGGCGTCATTATGACGATTATGTCCTAACAGAAAGCAGTTGAGAAAATGGCGTCTAACAAGGGGAAGTGTACGTCAACAGACGAGCTTCTACCAATACGACGTGGCATCATTTGAGTCTAATCTGTGTGCACTAAGCAAAATTGATTTTTCTCGACGCACCTGAGGTCCAGGAACAAAGCTTCTGACGCGTATAAGCTTAGCCTATGCTTTTGTAGCAGGCTAAAAATAGGAAAAGAATGGCCTACTGCGATATTTAGAAAATACGGAACTTCATTAAGTTTCAATTTGTAAAATGCTGCGGTCATACAATAAAAAAATATGTTAAAATATTTGTCGGTGACAATTAAAGTTTTTTGTATACCAAGTATATGTACATGCTCTTTTATTCTACTTTAATTGTAATTATCGAAATTCGTGTTCTAGTTTACAGTACCACTACGTAAAAACGTGTAGCTATGCTCAGATAACACATATTAAACAAGTGGCTCAATTACTTTC